AAGACTTCTAGATAACAAAACATAAAACCATCATTTGATGATATTGGCACAGTGTTCACCTGTATTGCAATGCACCAGTGGAAAAAAAATACATTCAATTAATTAATTATGCAAATGAGATTAAATAATATGCATGATACATGTAAAAATGAGAAGAATATCAAACTAAATAAAATTAGCCATAATTTAAGGTAGAATGCTAGATATGCTTATATTTTTTTAGTTTTGTGTAAATATTAGTCTATAATTAAATATCTATGTAGGTGATATGCCATGAAGAAATTGGGAAGTCTCATCTTGTGTGTTCCATGCGAGCTTCTATTGAATGTTTAAAATGTTGAATAATTGCTACAACCAAGCAATAGCATCACATAGCACAGTGATTGCTTGGAAACAATTGACTGCATTTTTAAATCAATTTAGTGTGATTACTGTGATTACAAAAACTGTAAAACACACATGCTTTGAGCATAAGAAATACACAAGTAAACGCTTTTGAGATGAGCACCATTTCCCAGAATCATTTATTTGCATTTAGGCCAGACTTTTTTTATTCGCGAGTTTTTATAAGGCAATTTTTTTGAGGAGGGCGGAAAAAAAATAAAATTTATTCTTTTTTTTCCATTAGATTTGTGTAATTCTCAAAGAATTGTAAGTGAGATCATTGATCGGAGAGAAGAAATGAAATAAAATTGTATTCCATGTATAACCTTGTTTCTCATCTGCGAGAGACTTCGGTACTTTGATCATGATACTCCCACGAAAATGCGACTTGGATTTGTTATGCGGCGGGCGGTAAAAAAAATAACGATAAAAATAATATTTTTTTAGCATTTTTTTGCGCGAGAAATTACGCTGAAATAAAATTATATTTTTATTTCATTTTCGGCTCCTGTTCATTCGACGAGTTCGCGAAACAAGGGATAATAAAAGTCTGACCTTAGTATTTCTAAAAAATTTACGTTCGTCTTGCAATTTTGTGATCAATTGGCAGTTCGCACCACTATGCATCTTAATATTAAATCCTCAATTTACATCATGATAGGCTGTTGTACATGTTATCAGTAACTGGTTGGCAAGGATTGGACGTTCGCACATGAAGATAAAATAACGGTGTTATTCGCTGCTGTTGTTATTAAATGTACATGTATGTGTTCCTGTCAATAAAACAACATATGGACAATGTTATTATGTGCTAGCGTTGATCATAATTACTATCGCACTGTTGCATGGTGGTTAATAGCAAAAATGTAAACGTATGGAGTCACAATGCAATGTCTTACAGATGAAAAAAAATCAAAAACAATCCACATAAGTAGCTCGTTTCATTAAAACAAAATGCGGCAATATAATTAAAATAAAAAAAATGACTGAAAAAAAGTTGTCAGAGACTTTAACAGATTGTAGACAATTTTGATTGCAAAAGAAAGAAAACAAAATGGTAAATTTGTTAAAATAAGATTGATTACATTTTTGCAATAAATATAGGATTTGCATTTTTTTTTTGTAAATTTTACCCGATAGCAAAAAGCTGGCAATTCACCAACCGTAAAAATATTCCATTACGCAGAATTTAATAGCATGTAAGAAAGCAACAATAGAAAATGACACTACCAGTTGAAATACTAATCATGATTCGTTTTGACGGGCCGCAATAACGAGAGATTTAAAGGGGGCAGATGCAAAATGGAATTGACGCCGTAGGAAGTGGAAAATATCTAATCTCAGTAGGGTAACAATAACAATGTCAATTTCGAGCTGATTGTCTGCTGCTCTTAGAGCTGATTAAGCCCTCCATACCCGCTGTCATACCAGACAACTATTTCAATTATATCAACAAAACGCCATTAATGGTGAAGCCGAGACTCCATCACAAAGTATACCTTGTCACTTCACAGACTTCATCAAAAACCATGTCCTGTCTACTTACTTTAAGATGATTAGATTTGATATTTTGTAAAAAGAAATTTTTCATATTTTAAAGGGACAGTAGTCGTCACGCTATCTGTACATTGCATGGAACCCATGTAGTATGACCACCGAACTTCATCTCCCCATGGAGGAAATTTTGCAAGTGTAGCTATGGCTGTCAACGTTTTAAGCACTCCAAAGTTCTGATACAAAATTTGGCAATTTTCCAAGACAAACCTGATTTGTGATGATTCATCTTTTCTCGAATTAAAGCAATTTAAAGCATAGTATTCACAGGTTTTCATTGTAATTTGCATATATTATGATTTTAAAAATCAATATCAATCACTATTATAGTAACAATGATTATTCAATAATAGATCATTACTAACAATTTAAAAAGTAATTACCAGGCTATAGTAATTTCAGTAATGCAAATATTTTCTTTTATGCGTTTACTTTTCAAAATAAAAATATCGGAAATGGTGATAAATTACTTGTCAGTTTCACTTCTCATAGATTGATCAACAATAAATGTCAGTTTACTATTACTGTCAATTTCTTGCTCAGATGTACCCGGAACACACAAACATTTTTTTATGATACATATACAGGTATTCCAAACGATACTAAAAATTATTTGGTATGGCCGGCAATGTTTATTTATTGTTTATACGTCAGTTTAAATTCTCTAAAAAATCTCGTAATCCGACAAACTTAATGACTTGAATTTCTAACCATCATAATCCATTTCTTAAATTTTATTTTCAGTAATAATTATAGCGGCTGGTTTCAAAAATGTTATTGCGTATCAGAGACATCGTGCAGTGTTTTGTTCGATATGGGTTCTACACAACAATACACAATGCATGCAAAGAAAAACACATTGTTCTTTTACACAAAAATTAAAAATGTGCTATGCAATAACTGCGGTTTACCAAACATTTTGGTAAATGACACAAATGGCTATGTAAAATTAACTTTTATTTCATTATGCAAATAATAAAACACATTTCTCAGTACAGTACTCACGAAAGGGAATAATACATTATCTTAAAACGAGTGAGAGATGTACAGCTCTCCAATAATTGATTAATCTCTCTACGCCTATTGTAGTAAGTCCTTCCCGTGACTAATTGAACTTCTCAAATCCATTAGCTGGATTTACACATAATTTACCGACTTAAAAACCAGACAAAAAAAAACCTTTAACTCAGCTGGAAAAAAATTATTACTGTAGAATAGTCTTCACACAGTAGGTCCCTATTTGTAATCTAATTACAACAAGTTATTACATCCCACGGCCATGAACAGTTTATTTTATGAATCATTAAATCTCTATTACATGATTGCCACAAGCACCTTCAATCATAAGTTAACTGGGTGTCACATGATCACTTAATTTGCATACACAAGTCACATGACTCATCAAGTGCATATCAAGATTATCAAGGACAGAACATTGAACAATCGTTCGTTGATAATCAGATTATTGGCACGGTGTCCATCTGTCCAATGCACCAGTGGGAGAAATACATTTTAATAATTAATTATGCAAATAAGATTATTAATATGGTTGATGGACAAATGAGAAGAATACTAAACCAAACAAAATAAGCCACTAATTTACGGTAGAAATGATATGCTAGTCATGCTTTTATATTTTTAGCAGTAGCGATGTTTTGCGTCAAAATTTGTCTATAATTAAATGATTCATTATTAATCAACAGTACGTGAAAGTTATTTTGTTCACTGTCAATCAGTTTTTTTGAGAAAAACTGTCAAATAATATGCTCAAAATAAAAACCCAGTTTGTCATTAAAAAATGTCAAATATTTAAGATATCTAGACATGAATGTGACACTACCATAAAAATTAAATTAATTTGCAGAAAAGTTTTAAACTTGTATCCTTTTAGTTTGTGCTGTGACTTCTTATGCATAAGATGGCACAGAATATAAAAAAAAAAAAAAAGATGGCACAGAAATCATTAAATCAATAGATTTTGAGGCAAAAATAAAGTATGTTGCAAAAATTGACATTTGCGTAAGGTTTATAGAAATTAAGTTCACAATCTACTTTCCCAGTAATCCCATCCTAAGAACACAACCCTCTTCACCAGTAATGATTTCACTAAAACACGAACACAAATCTTCGATTCACGACATAAATGAAACCATGGGCAATTGACCTTTAACCTTTTGAGCGCTCATTTTTTCCCTGCTCAAATTTGTTCAGAATTTCTGTAATTTTCACTGAATTAATCCTAATTATGAACTAAAAAAACAAAATGCGACACTACTTCAAGGTTGTGATCAAGGAATTTGAAATTTGAACATTTTATGTGCGAAAAGAGCAGACTATAAATAAAACTATCATGTGGATGTTGCCTGAAGTTGACTTTGGTGTTTAAAGGGTTTTGGACAATGAATACAGATTGAAACATTTTCTTAAAAAACACAGACAAATCAAATCTTGCTGAACTTTCTTCTTTCTTTTTCATTAATTTAATTTTTTTTTATTTTTATCATATTTTTTTCAAAATTATATTTTTAATTATAGTTTTTAATTTTCTTAAAGATTTGAACAAACTCCAGAGAAAATCTTGTTTGTGAGATCTTGAATAACCAGATTAGGAAACCAATCAGAGAAGGTCTTGTATACAGTGATTATGCCATTTGTCCAATAAATGCTGTATATAAAGCCTTCTCTGATTGGTCATTGAAGTTTGCGAGAGTTGTACAAAATTTGTTTCTATAGAGGTTGTTCAGATCTGTGTGCTTTCGAGTTCAGGCAATTACAAAAAATTAAATTTAAAGTATAATAATAAAATTACACACCATAAAAAATAATTAATATTTAGTAAGGCTTCTGATTGCAGACCTTGATGTGTTAACTTAATTCAACATTAATAAATTCCTAACCTTATTAACTAGCCAGTGTCTGCATTGTTCCACACTCCTTGGTATTAAAACACGTACTTTTAAAAACCAAATTGTAGTAGCTATAAAGCACTGACGTGGCTAATCTCATAAGTGGTATTACTCCCTCTGTAGAAAAATATTCAGGCTGTTCTAATAGTCACTTACCTTCCCTGTATATATGAAATACAGTACGTCACCAAATAACTCAGGATCCAGATCTGGTAAGGGTAACCTGGTCACATCGTCGTCATTATTCGAATGAAGGAAATCATGAAAGAGCTGGCATCTGGCGTTAAGTATTAATTTATGTGCATAATATAATACCTAATAAAAAAAAAATAACAACATTTTTTAATATTTATTATATATTTTTTCATGCAAAAGTTTTCAATTATTGTTTTGTTATGTGTAAATATGTTGATAGTGTTGATATTTTGCTACAAAAACAATATTTCATGTTTGGTATAGCATGACGTCCTATGCTATCATAACGGCATAATAGCAATTTAACATGTTATACTGATGTCAACCAGGCCTGGTTGAACACAAGCACATGCGGACATGAACCAAGGTTCCCTCAAAGTCGCATTTTGTCCTTGGTCACATGATTGAAGAAAAAAAAAGATCTCAGTGGATTTAATTTCAAATTGAGAAATTATAAAGCGTTGGAACACAGAAAGACACAAAAATGTCAGTATTTTTATGCAGTATCGCATCGGTCGATACCATCACCATACTAAATAGTACTCTTATAATAAAATCTTAATATACGAGTTTGATATGAGAATATGCAAGAAGGCAGTATGGTGATCATTTCGACTGACATGCTGCAGAGGTGGATGTGATCCCATACCGCCTGAATGCAGACTTTGTGGTATTCTCGTGATAACTTCATTATTACACATATTTCCCTGGAAATGTCAGCGACTACTATTTATGTTTACGCAATTGTTTGTGTTCAGTGACGTGATTCTATTTCAGCCACATTCTTGTTGCATCAGATGTAAACAAAGGAAAATGTTGGAATCTGATGTAAAAATACGACATACATTTTTCAAATGGAAAATACATCCCTCAGACTTTCTGGCTGGCATGTACCTGAAAGTATTTAATTGAAATATCCCCTAAAATTACAAGACCAGTATATCTCTCAAAACACAAGACAGGTACACCCCCCCAATTACAAAAGTGGTACATCCCTCACAATACAAGAATGGTACATCCCACACAATACAAGAATGGTACATCCCTTAAATACAAGAATGGTACATCCCATGAAATGCAAGAATGGTACATCCCTTAAATACAAGAATGGTACATCCCATGAAATGCAAGAATGGTACATCCCTTAAATACAAGAATGGTACATCCCACGAAATACAAGACTGGTACATCCCTCAAAATAAAAGGCTGGCACGCCTTCAAATAACTAGACTGGTATATGCTCTCAAATTACAAAACTGGTACATCCCTCAAAATACCAGGCTAGCATGTCCCTCATAACGGAAGACTGGTATACCTGTCAAAATAGTAAATAAACTAATATGTCCCTCAAAATATATGACTGGACTGACCCTCAAAATCTTTTTCAGGGATTTCAGGAGCAAATATAGAAAAAAAAAGAAGAGAACTCTGTCCCTTCCAACTTCTACCCTTCCCCCCTCCAGAACAATTAAAGATAGTTGATTCTCTGTTGACAGACTTATTGATGTAACACTACAAGACATTCTATTAATCCTGGGGGAGACAGAGCAGAGAGGTGCCAGGAAAATCTTATTATAACCGAAAACTGCCAAAGTAATGATATATATGTAAATTGCATCCAACCCTATGGACTCATTATATTTTATAAGAAAGATGACCTACATGAGGAGGTCTTGGATCCCCCAACTTTGCAATAATTTGTATGTTTACAACAAATGTCATTATAAATCAAATAAATGAGCCTGGAAGTCTAAAAAACAGTAGAGCAACTATCACCATTGGAAATTCACTGAAAGGCGAAAAACACTGCGAGAAATGATAAAGCAGCGTAAAAGGAAAGTTAAGATTCCATTTTACGATGTTATAATGACAAAATTGAATTGTGCATTTGTGGTAAATGTAATAAGCCTAGCGAGTATATTGACGAATATTTAGTCAGACGTGAGCCGCAGGCTTGACAACTCTTGATAGAGCTGCAACATGACCTTTAAAACTCATTCATCATGAAATGTACATTTTATTATATTTGATGAGTTTATGACAACTTTCCATAATTTGAACTTTTTTTCAAGTAACATCGTTTTAAATCATTATAACCTGGATATTAGCATGTACTCGCTGTAAACAATAACTGAAGTAGCAGTATATTTTCGTATTTGAAGTACAATCATAGAGTAACTATCGTTCGCATAATTTAGAAGAGCACCTGTTACGTTTTCTGAATCCTTTTTATTTTATGTCATTGTTCATAAAATCTAACATAAAAGTATGGTTCACAAACTATTTTTCAAACAGAAAATAGGTCAGCCATGAAAATGGTGCTTTTTTCAGCTATTTGGTTTTTAATGTTTATGATAAATCATAATTTAGTTTTTATGTGAATGCAGGATGGATACATACGGCTGACATGTTACTGTAAATGCATTATTAACCTTTCTACCATCGGTTCCCTCTTTTCATCACAAATTCATAAAATAGTCCCATCTATAGTCTGCACTTTCCTTCAGAAGATTGGGACGAAAATACCCTAATTTTTTTGAGTGAAAACTGAACATTGGCTCAAATTTTGTCTGTTGGGTTCATTTCCAGAAATATTGAAAAATATGAGAAAAAAGTGCAGAAAAATTTGGGCGAGAAAGTCTGTTGGTGAAGAGGTTGATTTCTGCTGATAAGTGAAATCAGCTAAATTAAATCCGCATAAACATGTGAAACACAATCCCTCATCAACAAATTTGTTGTTGGGGGACTTCGTGTGAAATAAGAATAGTACTCATTGTTTCTCAGTGAAATTGCTCGAAACGTAAAAAAAATAAAAATCAATGGTTTTAAAAGATACAATGTTTGTTTAAAAAAATTAAAAAAAACCAAAGCAATAAAGAAATAATATTTTGGCATTTGTCATATTAGAGATAATATTTCTTTCCAATCTGTTTGTTTCATAAAAAACAGTAATAACATTTTTCTGAATATGTCTTTTAATTATTGTGCCAGGACTCCACAATCACCAATGACAATAACAACTATGAAATGACGACTGAAATTCTCCATAAGCTTGGCAAATACAAATCTAATAAAAATAATTCTAGCTATTACTAGTATTTCTGAAACTAGTAGTCAAAAACAACTGCACATTCAGAAAAACCAAAGCTAAATCGAGTTCAACGAAAAAATACATCATTGGAAAAATGAAGATAGGCCATATATTCCTTTCGTTCGTTCGTCCGATCTTATATGTCACTGTAGCATCAAGAGAAATACAGAATATTTTTATATTTGACATCGGATAATTACCGTTTGGCTAATACATATAAGCCTCAGAAAATTTGGTGTTCACTGTTTGATAATTTTGTTGCTAAAAAAAAATCAGGTAGGTAAGATAAATGAATACACATCATTTGACAGAAATGCATCATGGGATTGCGTTCAATTTGTCAGCAGCAAAAGAAACAACAATGAACCCTGGGAAAACAATTAATAATTACAAAACACATTTCATGGAATTCAAATACAAGCGGAAACGAAAATAACCCAATGAATAAAACATTTTTTGTTATTTTCAACATAAAAGACCTTGCAGACAAAAGAGCGAAATTGACAGCAGCACTTACGCAAATGAACAAGTTCGCGGTGATGAATAAAACTCCAGAGTATCATTTATTGTCATAATAATGAGTGGACAGACAAAAGATTCCAAACGACGCAGCAGGCAATTGAGACTCTCCAAAAAAGTGGGTTAAAAGAGTGCAAGAGGTAACGAGACAATACTAGATGCGTATCGCAGATTGAGACTCGACATGGTCCTAGGTCTAATACTGTATATTAGCTCCATCTTCCAATTGCTTAACAAACTCATTACATTGCTAATTGGAATATTAACAATCATAAAACGTGAGTTAATAAAAGCCAACATAATTCAATTCAACTCAATTTAATTTGTATAGAGTCGCGTCTCTAGCCCGGTCGCCTTCATGTAATATTCATTGCTTTCTTCAATGTGTTTTCTGTTTGTAATTGCTAACGGTTTGAATCAAATTGTATGTGAAGCTGTCACCTTTATCTATCACAACACCTATATACTTAAGTATGCACAACATGTTTTATATTTAACAAGATTTTTAAATAATGTTGAACTCAACATGTACATCAAAGCTGGGTAAGGAATGTTTATACTTATAAACATGCTTATAAAATTTATATACCCAACTATTTCCCTTTCAAAATCAGCAAAAAATATTAGATAGTGCTCATGCATAAATTAGAATGCGTTAGAACTGCCTTTGGCACTGCATACGCTAATTCATGCTAATTCATTGTTCTATGATTTAAGTTTATGAAGAGTTTATAACATGCCCGACCTCATCTGACCTTGGTGTATAATCCAGGTCCAAAAATTTGTACATATTTTACATAGTGACTTCTCTTGTTATGTTCCACATGACTTTCACAGTTTTTTACACATTCTATAAATTTTGTGTTCAACAATCTGTTTTACATGTTTTACATTCTCCTTTTCATGTTTTACATTCTGTTTTTCATGTTTCACGTTGTTTTTCATGTTTTACATTCTGTTTTTTTATGTTTCACATTTTGTTTTTCGTGTTTCACATTTTGTTTTTCATGTTTCACATTCTGTTTTTCATGTTTTATATTCTGTTTTTAATGTTTCACAATAATATTTTATGGATTAAAATTCTGTGATATTCACAGAAAAACATAAATGGTTAAATTGAGATGAGCAATTGAAAAATATGAAATATGAATGTTGATCATCAAGTGTCTGTACTCACCTCTTCATTACCGACAACAAACACAACATCAGCAGTGGTTTTATCATTCATCAATTTTTCCAAATCTTTTTGTAGACCAGGCAAGCCATTACATGCATATTTGTTATCACTGGGAAACCAATATGAATCAGCCAATCTCATCCCCATGGCAACCAATTCACATGCTGTAAAAAGTATCAGATGATGCAATACTGTTTTTATTTGATCTTTCAACCCCATTGTCAGTTTGAGCCACCTTCTGCAACTAAGTGTTGATGTCAGCTTAATTTCACAACTCAAATGTCAATCAGAAGTAAAAGGGATTCAAATTTGTATACAGTTATATATATTGCCATACACCCAGTAACACATACCCAGGGTAAGAGTGCCATATACCCAGAAACCTATACCCTGGGTAAGAGTGCCATATACCCAGAAACCTATACCCTGGGTAAGAGTGCCATATACCCAGTAACACATACCCAGGGTAAGAGTGCCATATACCCAGAAACCTATACCCTGGGTAAGAGTGCCATATACCCAGTAACACATACCCAGGGTAAGAGTGACATATACCCAGAAACCTATACCATGGGTAAGAGTGACATATACCAAGCAACCTATACCCAGGGTAAAAGTGCCATATACCCAGAAACCTATACCCTGGGTAAGAGTGACATATACCAAGCAACCTATACCCAGGGTAAGAGTGACATATACCAAGCAACCTATACCCAGGGTAAGAGTGCCATATACCCAGAAACCTATACCCTGGGTAAGAGTGACATATACCAAGCAACCCATACCCTGGGTAAGAGTGCCATATACCCAGTAACCTATACCCAGGGTAAGAGTGCCATATACCCAGAAACCTATACCCTGGGTAAGAGTGCCATATACCCAGAAACCTATACCATGGGTAAGAGTGACTTATACCAAGCAACCTATACCCAGGGTAAGAGTGCCATATACCCAGAAACCTATACCCTGGGTAAGAGTGACATATACCAAGCAACCTATACCCAGAGTAAGAGTGACATATACCAAGCAACCTATACCCAGGGTAAGAGTGTCATATACCCAGAAACCTATACCCTGGGTAAGAGTGACATATACCAAGCAACCCATACCCTGGGTAAGAGTGCCATATACCCAGAAACCTATACCCTGGGTAAGAGTGACATATACCAAGCAACCTATACCCAGGGTAAGAGTGCCATATACCCAGAAACCTATACCCTGGGTAAGAGTGACATATACCAAGCAACCTATACCCAGGGTAAGAGTGCCATATACCCAGAAACCTATACCCTGGGTAAGAGTGACATATACCAAGCAACCTATACCCAGGGTAAGAGTGCCATATACCCAGAAACCTATACCCTGGGTAAGAGTGACATATACCAAGCAACCTATACCCAGGGTAAGAG